GGAGTTCTGCGCACTGATGAGTAGCAGCTGCCTTGCAAACCCAAAACCAGCTCTGACACAGACTAAAGATACAAGTGCTGTGCAGCTGAGCTCTAAGTCAGTGCAGGATTGCCATGATACATCCATGCTCCTATTAGGGGTGTGTGAAGCAGGCCTTATTCAATTCGGATTCAGCCCGAATCGGGGACAGTGATTCAATTCGTTGATTTGAATCCCAATCCCTGATTCGATTCGGTCGAATCCGAACCTGAAGATTCAACGCTGAGAATCAGTGATTTGGACATAGACACAGCTTTAAAAGTTTTTTCTACATACCTTGAGGTAGCAGGCACGGCTTAAGATTGCTGCGATGCTGGGGCACATGGAGCATCCCACAGGAGTGCAGGGGGGCCCTCTATGTGCTTGGTGGCAAACCTGGAAGTGAACCAGAAGTACTTCCAGTTCACTTCTGGGTCTGCTGGGGAGTGCACTGGGCCCCCCCCCTCCATGCCTCCCCGGCTCAGCAATCAGCAGCAGGGGGACCCTGGGTGCCTGCCCAGACCCAGGAGGCACCAGTCACCGAATCAGGTGGGCGCAGGCGGCCCCCCTGCACACTCCCTCAGTGGACCCAGAAGTGGACCAGAGGTGCTTCTGGTCCACTTCCTGGTCTGCTGCTGAGGAGCCGCCCGTGCTTCTGTGGGATGCTTCATGCACCCCAGCATTGTGCCATTCATGAGCCTCTGCTACCTAGAGGTATGTAGAAAAAAAAACTTTTAAAGCTGTGTCTATGTCCGAATCTCAATTTTTCCGAATTGATTTGGAGGATTGTGATTCGACTTGGAGAGATTATAGGGTCCTCTGATTCAGAGATTTGGCCACCGAATCAGGCAGGTCACTAGAGATGCAATGTCCAAGTGCATATTTCCCCAAGGGTCAATTTGCCTTCCTTTTCCCTATATGGGTTCCTTTGCTCAGTCATGCCCTGGCTGCCACACAACAAAATATGCTCCCATTTCTTCCCTGAGTAACCCGGACCATCTAATGAACTGTAAATAGCATTCACTGAACGGTAAACAACATCTTCCTGATAAGCCAAAGTCTCAAGAGCTAATATCAAATTACATTAACTGGGGAGTCCTGCACAATAATCAGAATAAGCATCATCTGAGAAGAAGGCAAATGTCATGCATCTTTACCCTTGTTTTCTCTGAGACCTTACCTTCTAGCCCAGTAGCCAATTGTGTTAGTAGCTTCCTCTCTTTATTAAGGGTAGTAGTTAATTAAATGTACTGCAGGTTTTTTTCTATATATGCTTTGGGGAAGCTGACGTCAGCCACTCCTATGCTGATTTACCCCTGTCTAGTTCTTTGTTTAAATACACAACACAAAATCAATTAAGAAGTATGCTATCCCAAAACAAAATCTGAACTCCCATCCTATGCTCCGCATCTGGCCCTGAGCCTATTTCAGTGATGAATTCTCTGACCCTTATCTGTTGTTCATGTGCTGCAGTAGATGTTCCTGGCACAGTGCTGAGCGCATGGTTTGTGTTTGTTAATTCAGGGTCCTGTATAAGTGGGCACAATGGATATGAGGAACAGTTCAGGCTTGAAACCGCAGCTATGGTCACAGAGCAGCTGTGGTACAAATCTAGGACTCAGAGGCAGCAACTGCTTCCTTTGTATAGGTTTCAAGATACAACTCTTTTAAACCGTCAGAAGGAAGAGACTATTAAATAGGTTACAAGCAAACAATTAAACTAACTTATTTATCCATTATTATAGTAAATAACAAGGTGATGAGAGGACACACAGCTTTTTTTATTTAGAGTATTCATGCAGTACTCAGAGAGCTGTAGCTGAACAACAAAAAAAAACTACTTCTGATTAAGTTTAAAAGGCAAATTTAATGATAGCATCACATAAAGAAATACATACCTCGGGAAATTAGAGTATCATTTATCAAGCTAACATGCTGCTATTATGGATCCTTCTTCCAAGAAGATAAAAATTACAGCAGATTTCTACCTCCAGTGAGCTGACACAACTTGCCAATACAAGTTTTGTCACATCTTTTTATTCTGCATTGACTCTAAATTTTAAACAATACTACTTGCTTAAGCAACTCCATTATTGTTCTGGCAGATGCTTTCACCAGCCAGAAAAAAAATGCAACAAAAACAAATGCACCATGCAGTGGACAGGCACTTAAAGACATGAGGGGCTCTATGACATTATATAATGTACTAGGAGCATGATTCGAATAAGGTATTCAAATCAGGAAAGGACCCAGCGCAAATGACAGAGTAATAAGCTGATGGAGAAGAGGTTTAGGTTAGAGATCAGAAGGCAATATTTTATAGTTAGGGTGGCCAAAATCTGGAACCTACTTCCCAGGGAAGTGGTCCTCGCCCCTACTTTGGGCAAATTCAAGAGGAGGTTGGATGATCACCTGTCTGGGGTCTTGTGAACCCAGCATTCATTCCTGCCTGCGGCAGGGGGTCAGGCTAGATGATCTGTTCAGGTCCCTCCTGACCCTAGCTACTATGAAACTATGACATATTAGGGCAGTAATTCTTTGAAGGCTCTAGGGACAGAAATTACACAAACATTACATAAGTGATTGCAAACTAGTTCAAATCTGTAATACAACAGAAGTTTAGTGCATGTGAACCACTTTCAAACTGGCCAAAACCAGTTTAAGATAAACCTGGATGGATGTACTATCAAACTGAAGTGATTTAGGTTAAATTGGTATATTGAACTTCTGTCCCAGATCCCCTCCAGATTCAAGTTAACTCACAGTCCCTCAGCATCCCAGGATGCTTTGCACCTCCCCTGCAAGCTCCTGCCTCGCAGGGGGGGTGGGTTAGCTTTGGCCCAAGTTGTCTGCCCCAGCCTAGCAGGGAGATGTGCTCTAGCACTCCCCTGCCCCCGACTTCTAACTTGGGCCATTGCAGGCATGTGGCTGCATCTCCGGAATCAAAAGTGAATGTCTGTTCACTTGCTTATCGGTTCAATGTACACAGCCCAGACTAACTCATGAAAACTGAACGGATTCAGCCTCAATGGTTTTGACTGTTTGAAAAATAATCAATATATGAAAAAGAGGGGGAGGGGCTGTTTTAAAGTTGTACCCGTCTACTTTTTTAAGATTATTTCAACCTAAATGAACATCTTAATCTGGGAAAAAGACAATGTTAAAATGCATCTAGAGTCTTTAAGTCTCTTAGCCCTTGTCTAAGTACGCACTGGGGGAGCTTCATCAGTGGGGCTGCACTGCTAGAAGCTCCTAGTTAGGACATACCATCATCAGCATTAAAAGTGATTTACATTCCTGTAGCATATAACTTGACTGGAGACTGCAGAAAGTATGCTGAGCCAGTGCAAGTACCATTGCTATTTCCTATTTGGTGGCCTGTCCATTGTTAATTAAGGGCTTGTATGTGATTAATAGATGTTTTTAAGCATACCACAGACATGATTAATATGGGTTATAGATGATTAGAAGAACATCAATATAAGAGGTTGTTGGAAGATTATCAGTTATGGTTATAATGAACCTACTGAACTCTATAGCAATCAGTAGTGTCTACAGGGGTTGCATTGAATACATCAGGGCAGTCATCCCAGTGAAAAAAGAAAAAAAAAACAAACAGTCCAGTGCTGATGGGGCCTTAGATCAAACAAAAGAGAAAATGGGATCAGGGCACAAATTGGGAAATGTCTGTTGTTTAATTTTAAAAAATGGCATTTAGAATGCTCTGAGCTATTTGCAAGTCAAGCTTGTGTGGAATAATGAAGGAGCCGGCTTATTAAAAAAAGGAATGTATTTAAGAATCACATTTTTTTTTCAAAATTAAACAAAACAAATCAATTCTAGAAAAATTGTATTGTCAAAATAAAATCTTTATTGGTACGTTTAAAAAAAAAAAAAAGCAACTCTTTCCAGTGAATGTGGTTCAAACAATAAAGTGACCAGACTTTGAAATATCTGCTAGTCCCGCCTCGCCCTGCCTCCTCCCCCCACATTACATTTTAGACCGACAAGCTACACATTTTAATAAAGCAAATCATTTCCATGCTCACTTTCTGCCAGGAAGTGACTTAGATTTCTAACTATGAGCTTGT